TCCTGCTGCCCGATGACATAGAGGACGAGTCCACAGGGCTGGAGAAGGTGACGCGCCTGCCCTCCGTCCTCACCTGCCCTCTCCTGTGTGTGCCGAGAGGTCGCTGCTGGTTATGTTCACTGACGTCACCTCACTTCCCAATTCTTTTGTCAGTTAGTGCGTCAACATTTACTGCTCGGGACCCCGCCGTCGTGGGGACTGTCCGTGCTGGGTGTAGTCTGGCCTTGGCAGCTCATAGAAACTCTTTCGTGAGCTAGAGATAGAGGGTTCTTTTATCAAAACAAAATTTTGTTTGTATGAAATGCCCAAGACTTATGGCATCATCATGCACTCTAAAGTCCTTCATCACACTGCTCCTTCTCCCTACAGTTCACACATTGGGGGGTTAGAGCCCCAGGAACTGCATGATAGCATTTTCCTGAGACGTGTATCTGAGCTTGAGGGTTAAGCCCATTTTCTATTGGGGACTGTGTATGAAGTTCCTGCTGCAAGTACCCTGAAGGCTTTGGAATCTCCTGCCAGGACTGGAACCAGGCAAAACTTGGAGATTATGTCTTTCCCTCAGTGTCTCAGGCCTGCTGCGTGCTTTTTCTCTACCTCCTTAAGCAAACTTGCTGTCAGGAGGGAATCCTGTATGTCAGACATCTGCAAGTATAGGGGACATCTTAAAATCACCATGTTTGTTCTTTCGACTGTATTTCTACCTTCACCTGTTCTTTATTATAAAGAGTGGCTCATGAAAGGGATTATTGACACCAACAGAAACAGTGAAATGAAGGTTCTGGTCTAGCCGAGTGATGATATTAAAATGGCAGTTGTAAGAACGGACACTTACATACCACTTTGTGCCAACTCAATGAATTCTAATGACAATGTTATTAGGTAGGTGCTGTGATTACCCCATTTTAGATGAAGACCTAGGAATTTTTCTGCTTTTCTAGGAGCTGAATCTATTAGAGATTATTTCAGTCTGTGTGGCTCACAGATCAGCACAGTGATTAGTGGATCAGAATATATAAAATAGAATAAGTAGAAAAAAACTTGTCCATGTTCCCTTCTGTCACTCAACCAGTCAACATGTGATACACTCTTCACAGTAATAATAACCCTCAGGGCCCATTGCAGTGGTCCAGTATGGCAGGGCGCTACTGAGTCCTGGATGAGTAGCTGTGTGTATGGGTGGGTGGGAATACAGATGGAAAACAGCAGGTTAGTGGACAGGCGAGTGGCTGGAGAGACGGGTGGATGGCTACTTGGTGGAGCTGATGCCAACCTCCCCGTACCTGGGTCCTTGATGACTTGGAACACGCAGCTTTTCCACTGTCCCCATTGCTAGAAAGAACTGGCATAAAACAGGAGGAAACCAATCAGCAACTGATATTCGGGTCTGTTCATTTCAATCACGCTTTAGTACTAACCTATATATGATTGTTTTCTCTTTGCACATTTTACTTCCAGATTGAGCAACAGTTGACTCTGGAAAAGCTGCGTGAGTGGACCAAGCCTGAGAATATGGACCACATGGATGTCCATGTGCACCTGCCCAAATTCAAGCTGGAAGAGAGCTACAATCTCAACTCCCAGCTGACGCGCCTGGGTGTCAAAGATCTCTTTGTTCGTAATGTGGCTGATCTGTCAGGCATGACCAAAACCAGAAATATATTCATATCAAAAGTTGTCCACAAGGCCTTTGTGGAAGTGAATGAGGAGGGCACAGAGGCCGCGGCCGCCACAGCAGGTGTTGCCATGTTCTGCATGCTGGTGCCAGAGGAAAATTTCTGTGCCGACCACCCCTTCATCTTCATGATCCGTCACAATGCCTCTGGTAACATCCTGTTCCTAGGGAGACTGTCTTCCCCCTAGAGACTGTACAAATACAAGGTCAAACTTAGAGCTTTATATCTGACTTACAATGCAGATGTAACTTCATCAATAAAACGACTGTCTAAACTCAATCTTTGATTTCCTCTGTAAGGGCAATTCTGTTGGGTCCTGACATCCATTTACTGTACCGGGGGCATTGGTTTTACTCCTTTATGTCTAAAAACTCCAGTGGTTGTTTTTGAAAACATCGAGTTCAAACAAATACCATGAGTGTGCAGATTCTTGACAGTCATCTGTGCAGGGAAACAGGAAGATGCTCTGATTTGGTTAATAGACAGAACTTCAGAAGTCATCTTACACATTCTGGTCATTAAAGGTGTGACAGGGTAGCCCAGAGTGACCCGGCTGCCTGTCTGTGGGTCCTCACCCGTGTGCTTAAAATTTAATTGTCCTGCAGGCGCGCACAGAAGGGTCAATAACGGGTTTATTTACAAAAGGGGAAAGGAAAAGGAACAACCCAGGGAAAGAGAGATACAAGGTAACTGGAATATCTTATCAGCTCAGCTAACTTGGAGCTCTGGAAACAAAACTAAAACTGAGAGCTCCCAGTCACACCGTCTGAGAGCTGTTGCTCCAGAGTGAGAGACAGTCTTCGCCTGTTGAAAAATGGCTCTCTATTTATCCCCCAAAGTCCCAGAATGCTGCTTAGCTCCGCCCTAGGGTCCTGCAGTTCTCTCCCTGGTGCTGCTGGGAGCTGTAGTTTCAATCACTACCGTAGGGAGCTGGAGTAGGGGGTGGGGTTCACAAGACTCTGCAGAGTTCCTTTAGGACAGCCTTCCCCCTTAACAAAGGAAGACTTAAGAGAGCTTCAGGAGGAGACAGGAGAGCCCCCAATTCAGGCTGTTTTGTAAAGACAAACTTGCCTTGATCTTTGTCCTGTAGACTGATGTTCCACAAGATTCGTTTTCAGACCATTCAATTCGCGAGCCACTTGGGGTCCCCTGCGTTCCCTGTTCTGTTTTCTTGTATCTGACCCACCTGTAGCTCTCCTGAGGTTCCATGGAGTTAAGAAGTGGGTGTCTCACCTAGAGATGTCCAGAAATGACCAAAAGAAAAATGGAGTTAAGCAAAGAGGGGGTGCAAAGATCTGTGTCCCCCAGCTCCTTGGTGTTTTTTCATAAATCTCTCCATGTCCATTGTGATGCCTGTTGCTATGGCAGTGACTGGCTTATGTGATGTGTGGTGGGAGGTGGGGCTCTCCGTGGCAATTCAAGGATGGGAATGAAAGGAAAAACTTCCCAAGGAATAGCTCTGAGTCCTTTGGGATCGGAAGTGGACAGAAATTCATTGTTTTCTGCCTTAAAACCTAACCAAATTTACCATCAGATGTACTGCAGACCTAAGGCAAGCCGGCATTTTCAAGAAGATGTAAGACTATATGTTTATGAGCTTGTACAGGGGGTGACAATTTAACTGGACAGGGACATGCACACACAGGTTTTGTCAGGGTCGTTTCTAAGCTTTTGGACTTAGCAGGTTAATAACATGAGAGAGCGTGTCACTGTGATAACCGGAGCTATTAAAATGATCCTAATGTGGGTTCCTCAGTAATCCTCTCCTGGAATCTGCCCAAAGGACACAAAAAAATTAATTCAGTACACCTGCACCCCTATGTTTACTGCAGTATTATTTATAGTAGGTGAGTCCGTCAATCCAAATGCCCAAAAATAGATGACTGGATCAAAAAGTTTTATGTATATATGCAATGGAATACTACTCAGCAATCAAAAAGATACATTGATGGCATTCACAGCAACATAGATGGAGCTGGAAGGGATTGTGCTCAGTGTAAAAAGTCTGAAGGAAAAAGAAAAATATTCGACGGGTTCACTTATAGGGAATCAAGGAAAAAATAACCACAATTAAAAAAACACAACAAAAACAAACAGATGACTGTAAATGAGAGACATCCTGTAGGGAGTGGGAGAGAGAGGGATCAAAATAAGGAGAGGAAGAGCACAGGGGACTTTAGTGGTGGGAATTCTATGGGGATTACACCTGAAAAAATGAAAGCAAACATTGTAAAAAAAAATAAAATGATTTAATTACAAATAAGTAATGAAAGAAAATAAAAAGACCCTCAACAACAAGTTTTCTACACGCAGGAAAGCAGGTAGAAAAACAGGAAGGTGGTTCTCCCTGGTGGCGCAAGGCGCTAAGTCTCAGCACTGTGAAGCTGTCTGCAGCCACTGCAGGAGGAGTTGAATCCCCGGCCAGGGAGTGACCCCAGGGCGCGGCAGACCTCTCCTGACCCGCCCGCTGCTCCCCTCAGCAGTGGACTTTGTCAGTTGGCTTGTTCTGCTCCCCACTCTGTCTCTGGTGAAGCCTCTCACCCTCCCCCACCTCTGGCCTGTACCCTAGTTCTTGAATAAATAAATAAATGAACGAACAAACAACCAAACAAACCCAAGAATCTTATTCCACTGTTAGTGGGGATGCAAACTGGTGAGACCATTCTGGAAAGTGGTTGGATTTGGCTTTACAAAATAAAAGTGGAAACACCACAAGACCCAGAATCCCACTCGGGATCCTCTATCCAAAGAACATCAATGACCCACCCAAAAGCCCGACGCTGGGCTGTTTATCACAGCACAGTGCTACAACAGCCCATCGTGAATGAGAACGGCCGTCAGGCGACCGGATTAATGGTCCGCATTGTGGACATTGCTTACCCGCAAGGCAAGAGGACACACAGCCACAGACGGCAGTGGACAGCGATCCAGGAAAACGTGGGCAGTGGAGGGAGTCAGAACGCGAAAGGCAAATACTGCACATCTACCTTGTCGACCATCAGTCAAGTACATCACAAGCCAGGACCGGTGGTAATAAACACAGCAAGGGGAAGGTGGGTGGACGAGGCAAGGGGACGGGGTGGACAAATGAAAAAGAACTTCATGGGCCTCCCTGGTGGTGCAACGGGTTAGGACGCAGCACTGTGAGCTGGCTGCAGCCGCTGCAGTGTGAGTTCGATCCCCACGCTGGAGGTGACCCCATGGCCCGGCAGACCTCTCCCGACCGGCCTGCTGCTCCCCTCAGCAGTGGACTTCATCAGTTGGCCTGTTCTGCTCCCCACTGTCTCTGGTGAATCCTTTCACCGCCCCTGCCGCTCTGGTCTGTACCCCAGTTCTGTGTGAATAAATAAATCTTTGAAAAATAAATGAGCAACAAGCATATGAAAAAATGTTCAAGATCACTCGTCATAAGGGAGATGCAAATTAAAACCACAATGAGATACCACCTCACCCCAGGGAGAATGGCACATCTTCAAACAACTAGCAACAACAAATGTTGGCGAGGATGTGGAGAAAAAGGAACTCTCCTGCACTGCTGGTGGGAATGCAAACTAGTACAACCACTATGGAAAACTGTTTGGAGGTTCCTCAAACTGCTAAACATGGATCTTCCCTGCGACCCAGCAGTCCCACTCCTAGGTATCTACCCAAAAGACACAAAAACACTGATTGAAAAAGATACTTGTACCCCCATGTTTATTGCTGCTTTATTTACAATTGGAAAGACATGGAAGCAGCCCAAATGCCCAAAAGTAGATGACTGGATTAGAAAGATGTGGTACATATATACAATGGAATATTACTCAGCAACCAAAAAAGAGAAACACATGTCTTTTGCAGCAACTTGGATGGAGCTGGAAAAGATCATGCTGAGTGAGATGAGCCAGAAAGAGAAAGAAAAATACCGGATGGTTTCACTCATAGCAGGAGTATAATGGACCAGGCGAGAAAATAATAAGAATAATGAACAGCCATATACCAGAGCCATTTTGCGGGGATGGAGTGGGGAATGGGATCAAAAAACGGGGAGGGGGGTGATGCACGGGATTATGGTGGTGGCACAAGGGTGACTTGGTGATGGGAAACCCGCGGGGATCATAATTGAGATGGAAAAAAAATGTACAAAATGATGTAAACATAAACTGTTGTATTATTTTAAAAAATGAATAAATAAATGAACATCAACTTAAAAAAAAAAACTCTTAAAAAAAAAAAAAAACTTCATGTCTGCAACGCACACTGAGTGAAAGAAGGTTCCAGAAGGTTGAGGGGGCCAAAGCTCCAAGGACAGGTGACTTCTAGGAGTGGCCCCAGGTCGGGATTCCAACTCTAGAGCTTTCCTGTTTCCTTGTGTTACTTCCTGGTTTCGGCTACCACTAGGCAGCTGCCACCCCAGACTGCTTCTCCTTTGGGGTAACCAGGCTTTCTCAGGTTTCCTTTCCCAACCCTCATTGTTTCTACTGTTGCAGTTTCAAAACACCAAAGGCCCTTTTGTTTGCACTGAAGCAGCAGGGGTGGGGGTGGGGGGAGCGTAGTCTCCAGACTCTGCCCACAGACTACAGTTTTGTAGAACAGGCGTCCAGATACTTGTCTTATAGATATACCAGAAACACTGTCTTAGACTACCACCCCACCCCACCCCAAGTGGTAGCCCCTCTTAAGAGGGAGAGAAGGGGGCTCCAGCTGAGTTTACACATCTATTTCTTTCTTCCTTTCCTTCCTTCTTCATACTGGGGTACAGGCCAGAGGCTCAGGGGCGGCGAGAGGCTTCCCCAGAGCCAGAGCGGGGAGCAGAACAGGCAGATCGAGGAAGCACGCTGCTGAGGGGCGCAGCGGGCGGGCCAGGAGGGGTTTGCCCGCCCTGTGGGTCACCTCGGGGGCATGAACTTGCACTGAAGCGGCTGCAGCTCACTGATGCTCAGCTGCAGGGCTGTGTCCTAACCCGCTGAGCGACCAGGGAGGGCCCAAATCCCCACATTTAATCACGCTTTTCAAATCATTCAGGTCAGATGTATTTGGTGATTTCTGCACTGTTTCATTTCTTTAAACGGATTACTGCCTGTTTATTTACCACTGTTGTGATCTTTTATTGTACTTTACACAAAAGTTCTTCACCCACTAAATCATCCTGGTCTTAGGTAAAACACATAATGATGGTTTACTCACATGAACTTGTGGTGGGAAGGATTTCATAACAGGACATGAACACACACAGGTTACCGCCATGTCTTCCTGGTGCAGAAATAAATCCTAACGTTGCCACCCAGACTCTCATTGACCACTGCTACTGTTCCTACTTGGAGCAAGCCAGAGGGGGTCACTAAAACCTGGTAATCAGTGGACGACATCTGTGTTAG